ATGATTTCACAATATTTTGCATGAAATATAGTTGCTTTTGAAGAATATGCTTGTGCGAAATATTCACATATTTTTTCTTGGAGACCATCTGTTGTTTCTGACAACTTGTACACAAACGTATATTCATTATTTACTTTTTTTTGGTGAGAAAAGTTGGACGTGGTTTCTTGAAAAGAGATAGATGTGGTTTCTTCACTTGAGAGAATTTACCTGAGATAAAATAATATCAAATAAGCACATGTATAGGTGTACATACATATGTATTTGTAAAATTTAGCTGAGAGATCCATGTAGTGTAGCTTCAAGAACCTCAGTTAGCTGATGGTTTGTTCGTGGCATTGTTGGTGCGCAAAGTGACGTGGGAAAATACAATGGCCCGAAATGTTTGGCCATCGTATTTTCCCGCATCAACTTCCACGTGGGACCCACTCATATGAGAAACTCACTGGTCGTGCATTTGACCCAGCTTTGGGTCAATTGGTCATGCTGGGGTTCCAAAACGATTTAAGAAAATACGATGGCCGGACATGCTTGGCCATTGTATTTTCCCGCAACAGTTTTCACGTGAAACCCACTTACATGCGCAGCCCAAACATACTCTTAGTACATTTGCAACTCAATATATATATATAGATAGGGTAGAGAGAAATGTGTATATATATATATATATGTAATATGAATTGTTACTTCATTGTTTCACTTGTATGCCTTTCATGAAGTTGTAATGACAGTCATATGAAGTCGCATAACCTGTTGACATAGTTTGCAAAAAATAAGCAGTTGTATGAACAGTTAGTTGTTGAATATGTGTATGGAGTATCTATGAAGTTTGTCCTCTAGTTTGCATGTAGTTTTTTGCAATTTTCATATGTAGTTTTGTATTTGTTTTGTATGCAGTTTATATGCAGTTTGTGTGCAGCTGTAAAAACTGCATACAAACTTGGGCTCCGATTTTGGGGCAAACCAGGTTCCAATTTCAGGTTGATTTGGGGTGGTTTGGAACATTATGAGGCACATTATGTGCCATTGGGCCTTGAAAAAAAACTGAACATTTTTGAACAAATTGAACATTTTGACAAAAATTGGGTTAATTTATATATATTTTTGATCCATAGACTAGTTTTCCATTTGGGTAGTAGAAAAGGTACCTAGAGTTGAATTAGAGTGGTTTGAAAAAATTGACAAATCTTGGGAAAAAAACAAAAAACATGAAAACAAAAGTCTTTTTTTTTTTCCGGCGACATCCCGCGGATATGGAGCCTTTGCAAATGGATGCACAGCTGCTGGAGGCTCCGGACTGCCGCTGTCAACCCTGAACCCTCAGCCCTAAAATCCATCGTTCTTCAGGCCTTAGCCCGCTCCGTTTTTCGCATTTGTGTACTTTTTTTTCTCATGTGCGTACTATTTTGACCTCGCTTAGACCTCATTTAGGCTTCTTTGAGTTCATTTAAGGTCCCATTTAGACCTTATTTAAGGCTTATTTAGAGTTTATTAAGGGCCTTCTTAGGCACCTCAACCCCTCTAAAGTTAGTTCAAAAACTGTTCAAACTCGGGCTAGAGTCAAGACAAACAATGTGTTCTTCCCCCACTGATTATTCGAAACCCACTCTCTTTGCTCTAGTTTAGCTACACAGTAGGTAGGGACAATGGGAATTTTGTTCATGCATTCCATCAAATCTCATTAAATCCCACTAAGTCCAATGAAATCTCATTAAGTCAAAGTCATTTCCATTGAGTTCCATCAATTCCCATTAATTCCCTTTCCTGTCCTTTCTATCCCATTAAATTCCTTTCACTTCACTTCATTCATGGATTTCCTTTTCTTTCCCATAAAGTCATTAAGTCACATTCAATCCAGGTGTCCTTTCATTTCCTTTCATTTTCCTTTCTCTTCATTTTATGGATTTCCTTTCTTTTCCATTAAGTCCCATTAAGTCCAATAAAATTTCAATCTCATGAAATGCCAACAAGGCCTCCAAGTAATTCGCAGCGATTCCCATTAATGGTCCTTTCATTTCCTTTCACTTCATTCATGGATTCTCTTTTCTTGCCCAATAAGTCCAATTAAATCTGATTGAGTCCAATTTATTCCCACAAGAGTCCATTAATTCCCATTTTGAAAATCCCATTAAATCGGGTTATCTCATTAAATCCCATTAAGGCCTCCTAAGTCCCATTAAGTCCCATTGAGCCCCAATAAGTCCCATGCCATATAGAAAACTAAGAAAACTATGTAAGAATTTTATAGTTCCCTCCTACACACTGAGACATGATCGCATCACTGGTTGGGCATCGGTCTTCGCTTGAGCGCCATCCATTTTCCCTGTCCATTCGGCAGGTGAGTTGTTACACACTCCGAATAGCGGTTCCATAGTCAACCATCCTGCTGTCAAAATGAACCAACACGGTTTGTGGTATCTGCTCATAGCTCCCTCCTACACACTGATAGATGATCACATCAGTGATTAATTAATTTAATGATTAATGAACCTTTCGCAGTTTCGCCATGTAGATGCTTATACCGAGACATTCATGTGATGCTTTAGATCAAGGAAAACATCCTTGGCAAATGTTTTCTTACTAGTCCGTCTTTAACAAATCTAAGAATTTCACCTCTGACAGTTTTATATAATATACGAATGCCCCCACCCACTATCCCTATCAATCATTACCTCAGCTGCAGAAACCAAGCGAACAAAGCTGATGTCCTATTTCATTTTTTATTCCATGCTAATGTATTCAAACCGCAGGCTTGCTTGAAACACTCTAATTTGTTTAAGGCAAATGTCCCAAATACTGCACCACACAGTTGAGTGCAAATACGTTCTTCAGGAAGATGTCAAAGCTGAACCAAATGACACTCAGAGGGCAGACCGGTCATCCTCAACAGAAATCCAACTACGAGTCTTTTGACTACAACAACATTAATATACACAATAGCTGGAATTACCGCGGCTGCTGGCACCAAACTTGCCTTCCAACTGATACTCATGAAGAGGTTTAAGTTTTTCTCATTCCAGTTATTACAAAGTATGGATGCCCTGTATTGCTGTTTCTTGTCACAAGATCCCTGTCAGGATTGGATAATTTGCGCACCTGCAGCCCTCCTTAGATGTGGTAGCCGTTTCTCAAGTTCCCTCCAGAATCAAACCCTAATTTTCTGCTACCCGTCATTGCTACGGTAGGCCAATGCCCCAGTCGGAAGCTGATAGACCCAAAACTTTAATGACGCATCGTCGGCAAGGCCACACGACTCCTCAAGTTATCATGGGTCACCACATGACCACGTGAAACCTGGGTAGGTTCTGTACTTTAAATACACAACCCTCTTGCGAAGTTGGGTTTGGATGTATGTATTAGCTCCAACATTACCACAGTATACCACAGTTATCCAAGTAGCGGCAACCATCAAAAAAATATAACGACTTTAATGAACCATTCGCACTTTTGCCACGGAGGTGTTTGTGTACTGAGACATGCATGGATTAATCTTTGAGATATATGACTACTGGCAAGATCAACCAGGTTTGCTTTAAATGCCCGCGCAATGGCAAAATCAATAATATCAAACCACATGCGCTATTTCGAATACGCATTGAAAACAAATCTGCAAACAACACCAGCTTAGGTTTGAACAATTGCAGCTATATATTTGTTCGACAACGCTTCGGCTGAGTTCCAAACCTTGCATGGTTGGATTTTTTTCCATTGGGTGCTGCATGCATCAGTTGGCCCAAGTGCTTGAAACCAAAATATAAATGTGACATACTTTAGAGTAAACTTTAGAGTTAAATATTTTAAGTCTGTCACAGCATCTGACACCCTGCCACTATGACAGACATGAAAAGAACAATGGAAAAAAAAACAATGGGTCGCTGTTGGCCTAAAACCGCCTAATGATCTAGAATGACCCAAAGTAATCACAACTTAGATCATAGTGAACTGACTGTTTTTAGATCACAGTGAGCTGTTTTGTTCCAGGTTCTCATTTGCTTTGTGTTGTCTTCCAAATTTGCTCAAGGCAAAACAAGGCTGCACACTTTCCGGAAGCTGCAGTGGCATTCCCATTTTTAAGTGTCTGGAAAGGTTTGCAAAAGGTCGCAAATTTAGCGCAGGTGGATCTCGCAGGTACATATAAGATTACGTCATTTTCTGGACCTTTACGTTAACAAGGAAGGGCTTGCGAAGATTCAACATGGGAGCTGAAAGCACAACGCATCCACATCCCAACAGCACAACAGGCCTCCAAGGAAGAGAAAATAGGCACCGGTCAGCTGGAGCCAAAGCAACCAATGTGGTCCCAAAGAATCGCACCAATCTTTTGCATACAGTGGCCCCAACCAATTACCACATTTGAATACATTTGACTTCGCCATCAAAGGGTGCATTCTGCATGGTGCACTATAATTGAGCTGATGTTCAGTTATCAGTCATCCAGTGGATGGATGCCCAAAAAGATTTCAGATTCACAAGCGCAAAACACGCATCTGACGCACAAACAGTCTGTGTCGGGTAGAATTCTCAGCTTCAAATTTTTCGTCTTGCACTTGAGGAACCTTCATCTTGCACGAAAGCTCCAAATGCCCAAACTGAAACATCTTTTACCTTAAAATACACTGCTGCCTACCAGCCTGTCTCAAGTTAGGCAATGCTGAGACTTATTATTTGCAGGTGTAAATTTTCACGGATTGCCTCATGATTGACAATTCTTGACCTGGCCCAGCAAAAGGAGCCTCCACTTTGAGACAGCGCACGGATCCAATAAATTCCAGGTTTGGACATGCGCATGGCCATGCAGGAACACGTCACCATTCCAATAATGGACGAACTTGATTGATCTTGCAACATCAAGTCACAAAACTGCAATAATTTATGACAAGCAAGTGTTGAGAGAAACTCTTGGTCCCCGCAATCCAGCAACAAGACTTTGAAAAGGTCAACATGAAACCAAAATACACCACACCATAAGAAGATTCTTCTGTGTCATCTGGATTCATCTGGCCATTTTGAGATCCAAACCTAGCAGCATAGGCTAATCACACATCGAGCCATGTCAGGCCACCGGAGACGGCGGTCATTTTGATGCTGTTGTGATGCTCACTTTGAAGCCAATCACTGGTCCAGGAGTTGCGTCTCGGAGAACTCCTTGAACACGGCAATCAGAAACTCTTTCAATTTTGCCCGGTTTCGCCATGGTAACGCATTGGTGTGATACCTGCCAAGTGCTAAATAAATCGTAGAAGTGCTTCACATGCGAACATCGTGCTGCCCTATTAATAACTGACAGTTGGTCAATGCCAAGTAAGTTTGGTCCCTGGATGTCCCTGGGTTGCATGCCAACTTACAGATATCCCAAACATCCTACCTACTACGTTTTGACTTCCAATGATTGTTTCTCACTCTAGATGGAGGACTCCTAAATTGGTACCAAAAAAACACTCTGGCCATTGCTTAAAAAACAGGAAGGACTGTTCGAGCATTCAATGATTCATAATGATTCTTTTGGAGGGTGTTGCCCAAGGGCCTCAGAGCCAGCACTGCCACCACTGCTGGAAACAGCTTCGCGGCATCTTTGGCCACTGGAAACAGCTGCTCGTTCTGCCCTTTTCCCATCACCTCACAGGGGGTAAACCCATGGCTTCTTAGGCAACATTGTTTCATCTTCATCCATCTTCATCCATCTGCATCCATCTTCATCCCATATCTCGTGTGACCTGTTTGGTGAATGGGATCGCGTGGGGTCTGGGCGGTTTTGCGACCCAGGCCTGTTTTGTAGCAACATCGATGCCCTCGAAGAGAACCAGCTTCTGGGCCTCACCAGACTGCAAAGCCAAACTCGTCACGATGGCTTCTGCGCAGCGCGTGGCCACCTTCGGCAAGTCCATGTTGCCCACCTGGCTACCAATGGAATCCAAAAATAGGTGACTTATGGTGACTTCATTCCACATGTCATGACAAGGGCGTCAATTGACAAGTTGAATGAAGCTTCAATTGTTCAAGTATGAAGGTACCCAGTGGAATAGCCAACAAAACCAGAAGCATTATGGGGCCAGGGAATAGATAATTAGTCTTAGGACCCTTAACATCCCTCAGCCCAGATCAACATCACCTGCTGCCAAGCACGCAGCAGAAAGCGCAGAAGCTGAGATCCGTTGAGGATGAAAATGTGAAGAATGGCTGACTTGAAAGACGTGAATTCTCCAGTTCCAAGCAGTTGCATCCGCACTTCCTCCACATCCTTGCAACGTGGCTTAGTCAAAGCTTCAAGATTGCAGCCATTAGCCTGCGGCAATGACGCAATTTCCTTGGCTGCACAGCTGCTGAAAGTTCTGGAATGATTTTGTGAACTTTTGGAAAAGTACGGAGCTATCATGGGGTCTTTCCGCGACAACCCCATGGAGTAAAACGAATACCACGCACAACCATACCCTGAATGGAAGACAAGCATCTTTACTGATTCCTGTTGTGGCTTTCAAACAGAGTTGCACCTCAGGCGCGCTTGCAGGACCAGTTAACTTTAAGCCCCCGGATTGCGCAGTTGCAGCCTGAAACAGCTCGCAGGAAATGCTCGCTGCCGCACGGTTGTTGGCCGAGGGATCTCCCTGTGAATCGGCATCCATCGGAAGAAGGAGCAACGGTGCCAGAAGCAGTTGCCGCTTTTGGACATCTGGACATCTTCGGTACGCAGCTTGCAGCTCATCCAGAGAATAAAACCGCCTGCCAATGACTTCCTGATGTTCCTTAGGCAGTCCGGCAGCGTGAACGCAGGCCAACAGGTCACTGTGGTCTCGGTCACTGCTTTCAGATGCCTTTTTCAGGGCATCCAATGGGACTTTCGGACAGCAGGACATGTCTTTGATGACTGAGCTCCAGGAGCCCAAACAGGTGGCTGTGTCCGTGGCATTGGACGTCAGCAACACGAAGCATCGCTGTTCCAGCAGGAGCCTCTTCGGCGTTGTGGGCATGGGGTCAAAATATGGCAAACTGCGGCAAAGCAATACAGACTCGGGGACTAACTCCTTCGATCTTTGGAAGGGAAACCTGTACCTGTACCTGTAACTATTGTATATGTCCATGTCTTTTTGATACGAACTTGTTTGGCTGATAGAAATTTTGTTGCAGGCACTAAGAATCCATCTGCTTCATCATCCTTGCCTTGCCAGAAGACACAGTACATCCAGAGATTCGCGCAACGCAGTATCTGAATGGCTTGGGGCAATGGGATCAGCACCATACGCCACTTGACGCGGAGCTGTGGAGATATCGCCTTCCAACAGCAAGGCACTCGGAAGCCGACTGGCACTCAGGCGCCGCAGTTGCCTCAGATGATCACCTTTCGCAGATCTGCCGATCAAGTCTCGCATGGTTTTGCGTTCAATGCAAACACCAAGAGCTTCTGCAGAACGCGTCCACAGGTAGTCACCTCAGCTGAGCAGGAAGAATAGGGAAATCACACAGCAGGTGTAGCATCAAACAATTTTTCTTGCTGTGATCTGAAGAATTCAACTGCTTCTATTTCTTCTGATCAGTCAGACATGTTTTGCCACATGCCCGCCAAGATCCGCCAAGAAACCCATTTTGAGCTGTTGATGTTGCACCAGCACTGTGCCTTCCAGTCTCTTTCGAAGCTCCTTTTGGGACATGGCCCCCCAAATGAACAGCCAAAGTGTATTTTTCAGCTGCGCAACCCTTGCACCACACGGGCAGCCCGACAAATGAGCTTGTCAGACACTGTATTATTTGATAGTTTTCCATCAGGAAGTGAATGATCAACTCTCAAACAATGCTGTGCGGACCCTTTTCGGCGACTGCAAAAAACATCGAGATCATCCTCTCTGTGTGCCAACAAGCAAAAGAAAACAACAGTGCAGGTCAGTGAAATCCCACCGTTTCCGTTCTACATGCTCTGAGCCCCCCAAAAAACAAGAAAAAAGGTAATTCCAACTTGGATACCCTATATCAACTCCGAGCTCCTCATAGATATCTCGTGGACTTGCGTCTTTGCACCGCTCCTTGAGATCGACTGTCAAAGCCTCGAGTTCTTCAAAAACATCAAAAATCATCAAAGTTTTCACATCTCTGAACCCTGAACAGGTCTGATCTTTGACATGATTCCAGGGAACCAGGTCGTCTACCGACGAATCATCTGCCAGCTGCGAATCATCATCCAACTCCATTGGGGCAGCGCCTAAGCTGCCACGGAAATAGCGGCTGCACATGGAAGATGAACTTTCTTACGCAGCTGCTTGCCATGTTGTCAGTTGTCACTGGATTTTTGGGAAACAAGGGGGAGCAAAAGAAGAAGAGGCTCAAACCGGTAAACGCTCACTAAACATGTAGAACCTTCAACCCAGAAAGTGATTTTGGTAGTCCTTCATACACCGCAACCTCGAAACTTTGCTGCCACTTTGAACATCCATTGAGAGACATGTCACAGCAGAGTCACTGGGATGCATTCGATAGGATTGGATCAAAGTACTGTAGGCTTCTCCCTGTACATCGCCCTCTCTGTGTTCATCAAAATGCTTTGGAGCTAGATGCTGGGATGTTGTCAATTTCTCCACACAAGAGGGGAAACACATGATTCTGATGTTGGATGTGGGGGCGTTGGGCGAAGTGTCTGTGAGGAGCTCTCAGATTTGCAAAAACTGGAACTTAAGGTGTCACTTCCAAGTTTGCTTTGCAGCCAAGACACTCTTGGAAGCCAGCAGTGTTGGAAACAGCGCTGGTGATGGTGGAGCATCCTGGGACGAAGCCGATTCCAGCGAAAGTCGCAAAGCCTCTTGTAGATCCTTCTCCTCATCCTGAGGGGTGGTGTTTGTGCGAGTGGGCACGTCTTGCAATGAAAGCTCCAATGCCTTCCTCATCTCCTCATCCTCATCCGTCCCTGAGGAATCTGAGGAACTTGAAGAACACTCGTCCTCTTCGGGCATGGGCGCGGCAACCACAGGAACAGCTGAGGTCCGAGTCTGCGGTGCTTGTGATGCTTGTGGCGTCCCTTGTGATGTCTGGCTGATCCTGGGCTTTTTCACCCCACGCACAGATGCAGCTGACATGCGCCTTTCAGCAGCCATGGCTGATGCTTCTCGCTTTCCATCCATAGATAGCCGACCCCCCAACTTGTGACCTGGACCACTTGGACCATTTGGACCATTTGGACCACTTGGACCACTTGGACCGGAGGGACCGGCGGGACCTGGAATAGCTGCACAAGCAGAAGACATTCTGGAAGGAAGTGGGAAGTCCAGACTCATAGCTGTTGCGGGAGTTGCTGACATTCCAATTTCGTTCTGCGTAACCTTTTTGACAACCAGTGTCCGTTGTCTTCCGTCGCCCCTTGAATAATGAAGCAATCTGTAGCCCAAACCTTTTGCATTCAGCGCATCTATCTCGTTGTGCAGGTATTTTCGGCGATCTTTGGAAACCTGAAGTGAAGGATGCAAAACTCTTTTCGTCAGCTCTCGGATTTGAACAGAACAAATGACAACATTCCAGCCCCTCCTGATCATCAAGAACTAAACTAGACGACGGATGGCCCGAGAGCGTAGAGGAGCAGGGTCTTCTCTTGTTAGTATGGAGACACCATATTAGAAACAATATATTAACGATGTGTTCTAGACAGTCGAGAAGAGGAATATTAACACAAAATAGCAGAAGTGCAAGACAATAGTTTGCATCGCAAACACTTTTACACACAGAAGCTTTTACACACAGAAGCTTTTACACACAAAAGCTTTCACACACAGACAAAAGCTTTTACAGACAGACACTTTCACACACAGAAGCTTTTACACACAGACGCTTTTACACAGACACTTTTACACACAAAGCTTTTACCCACAGAAGCTTTTACAGACAGAAGCTTTTACACACATACGCTTTTACACAGAAGCTTTTACACACAGACACCTTTACACACATACGCTTTTACACAGATGCTTTTACACACAGACGCTTTTACACACAGACACTTTTACACACGGAAGCTTTTACATATAGACACTTTGACACAGAGGCACTTTTACACACAAACACTTTTACACACAAACATCTTTACACAGAAACACTCTTACACACAAACCCTTTTACACAGAGACACTTTTACACACAAAAGCTTTTACACACAGACACTTTTACACAGATGCACTTGTACACACAAACACTTTTACACACAAACATCTTTACACCGAAACACTCCGACACACAAACCCGTTTACACACAAACACTTTTACACACAGAAGCTTTTACACACAAACACTTTTAAACAGATGCAATTTTACACACAATCACTTTTACACACAAACATCTTTACACAGAAACACTCGTGCACACAAACCCGTTTACACACAAAGACTTTTACACACAGACACTTTTACACACAACACTTTTACACAGATGCACTTGTACACACAAACACTTTTACACACAAACATCTTTACACAGAAACGTTCGTACACACAAACCCCCTTTCGTGCGACAGGGTTGCTCCGGGAGAAGTAAAATCGCAATTTTACCTCAGTTTTTGACGATCGACCATCATTTCGTGCGAAAGGGTTGCTCCAGCACACGAAAAATCGCAATTTTTCCTCAGTTTTTGCCGATCGACCCTCATTTCGTGCGAAAGGGTTGCTCCAGCACACGAAAAATCGCAATTTTACCTCAGTTTTTGCCGATCGACCCTCATTTCGTGGGAAAGGGTTGCTCCGGCACAGGTAAAATCGCAATTTTACCTCAGTTTTTGCCGATCGATCCTCATTTCGTGCGAAAGGGTTGCTCCGGCACAAGTAAAATCGCAATTTTACATCAGTTTTTGGCGATCGATCATCATTTCGTGCGAAAGGGTTGCTCCGGCACAAGTAAAATCGCAATTTTACATCAGTTTTTGACGATGGATCATCATTTCGTGCGAAAGGGTTGACGTTTCGTGACTCCCCGCCGGTACCACCCTCTGCCTAAAGAGAAAAAGATAAAGAAGGCGAGAGAGAGAGAAAAGGGAGAGAGAAAGGAGAGAGAGAAGATGTGAATATATGAAGCTGTGAGCGTGAGAGAGAGAAAGAGAAGATGTGAGTATGTGAAGATGTGAAGATGAGAAGATGTGAAGGAGATGGGCAGATGTGAAGATGAGCAGATGTGAAGATGAGCAGAAGATGAGCAGATGTGAAGATGAGCAGATGCGAAGATGGGGGATGAGCAGATGTGAAGATGAGCAGATGTGAAGATGAGCAGATGTGAAGATGAGCAGAAGATGAGCAGATGTGAAGATGAGAAGATGTGAAGGAGATTAGCAGATGTGAAGATGAGCAGAAGATGAGCAGATGTGAAGATGAGCAGATGCGAAGATGGGGGATGAGCAGATGTGAAGATGAGCAGATGTGAAGATGAGCAGAAGATGAGCAGATGTGAAGATGAGCACATGTGAAGATGAGCAGATGTGAAGATGAGCAGGTGTGAAGATGAGAAGGTGTGAAGATGAGAAGATGTAAAGATGAGCAGATGTGAAGATGAGAAGGTTTGAAGATGAGAAGATGAGATACAGACCCCCACTATTGGAAGAACCCTGCGCTCAGACGCTCTCGGGAAAAAGTAGATCTTATCTTGGAAATGACCAACAACATCAAAATCATAACCTCCCATGAACTACAAGTGCAAGCAGAACCCAATGGCACCTGGAACTCCTTCTCTGCTCCAGTTGGTGCAGTGTCAGCCCAGGTTTGCAATGCAGCCAAATCCTCCGGTGACTTTTTGGTCGCTTTGACCACCCGGGCCATCCGCGGTGCTGGAGCATCAGCCTCGCCATCGTCGATGTCACCAAACTTCTGCAACATCTGCGGCACGAAGTCTCGGCCAGCCTATGCTCAACAATGTTCGGACCCTGATGGATTCTTTGATGGATTTGACTTTTTCTTGTGTTGGACAAGTGGTCAAATGTTAGTAACGTTGATCTTCCAAGATCTGCCTAGCGCATTTGTGGGCGAATTTACTACATCAAACACCGTTCAGTAACTCCGATTGATACTTTTATGATTTGCACTTTGATGATATTTTGTCACATCTGATGTCCTTGTGACCTGTATCGCAACACACATGATACATCAGCCGTGCAAAAACAACGACATTTGACGACTGCATGCTCCCATCCAGCCTGGGTCAAACTGATGCGATCTTTTGGGCCGCGGAAATTGGTGCTCCAACTCTTCCCAGCTTTGTCCCTTTCGATGAAGCGATGCGACACCAATGTCTTGTTGGATTCCCAGCCATGTCCGTGGTCCCGTCCCTCGAAATGGTTGTCTCTCATGGGCACGTCACAATACTTCTGACCATGCCGGCAGATCTGATCTTTGGTGAGAAAACCTTAGAACCAGTTGCTGACAGCAATTGACAACACCAGCAACATCAAAGCCAGAGACCCGTGAGAAGTTGAATTGTCTGACCAATCGGAAGTAAGATGAAGTAAGTAACTGAAAGGGATCACATTTTGAGTTTTGATGTAAAATGCGTCCGTGGCCCCACCAAATGCCCCCAAAACCAAGTTACATATATTTCATCCAAGTGACCCTCATAACTTGGTGACTTCTCTGCGTCCCACAAGGCCCTCAAAATTGCATATCCGCCCCCACGATGTTGGACGCTTCGGAGGTACGGGTGTTCTCCATTGCCAGCGTTGCCAGCTTGTGCAGGTCGGATCACTTGAGGCACCACACCATTGCGCATGATCCTTACCAATTAAAAGCCAACATGTCAACCAACACGTGCCACAATGCGTGACGCCAACAGCATTTCGTTGCATTTCGTTGCACACTTTTTCCGGGAACGGGGGAGCAACGGAACCGACCAAAACAACAAATAATAAAGTCTTGCAATTTTGGATCATGACGGATGTGTGGAATCATGCAGGAACAAACCCATATCATGAAATACAATGTGATCAAAAAGGCGCAAGAAAAGCTGGCCAACACAGAGCAAGGTTCTGCTCACAATACTCTCGAGCTGTCTTTCGGAATTCGCTGCTCTCCTTCGGGAGATTCTGCACCGATCCACTTTGTGTGATCTTGATGTCCTCAGTGTCCCCGTGGCTTCCAAAAAACGCCATTCAAACATGACACCTTCAAACATAATTTAAACTGCAAACAAGAAATTAGGTTGTGACGGCCTTGTCGCCACATGACGATGGAAACATCCCTTAACGCTTCTGCATTCACTGCTTGGTTGTTGTCAGTTTTTGAAGTTGGCAGCAAGATGACCAACCCTCCAGCCGGTTTCCAGCCAGGTGCTGAGATTTCTTTTTTCCTCAATATATAATGATGCCAATAATGCCCGTGCGAGGCGGGGCGGAAGCTGCCTCAGGGATTTATAAGACTTTTCTCATCTATAGAACTTGCATGCGCCGTGCGCCAGCCAAGCCCGTGCGTGCGTGCATTCTGCGAAAGTTGTGTCCTGTTTCACATGTCACATTTGAGGCTCCACTTCGCACTTCACACTTCTCACTGCACTCTTCACACTCCACACTTCACACTGCACTCTTCGCACTCCACGCTTCACTTTACACTGCACTCTTAAGACTCCACACTTCACATTCCCCACTCACAGTCTGCACTTCTCACTTCTCACTGCTTTCTTCATACTCCACACTTCACACTTCACACTGCACTCTTCACGCCCCACACTGCACTCTTCACACCCCACACTTCATCTCATCTGAGCTCTTCTCACCTTATCCCAGCTCATCTCTTCTCATCTCATCTATTCTCCTATGTCATCTAAGCTTTCATGAACCACTTCCCAGTACTACTTCGAAAACTTGCATGCGCCGTGCGCCAGCCAGGCCCGTGCGTGCGTGCTTTGTGCGAAGCTGTTGCCGTGTTGTTGTCCAAGAACATGACCTGCGTGCTACCCCGGTCCAATGCAACGTCAAGCAAACACTTTCCTCACACTTCACATTGCGCTCTTCACACCCCACACCCCACACTTCACACTTGCACTTCATCTCAACTCGTCTCATCTGAGCTCTTCTCATCTCATTTCATGTCTTCCCATATGTCAGCTACGTTCTTCTCGGCTATTTTCATGTCATCTGAGCGCCGCTCAACCTTTCTCATCTCACCGAAGCTAGTCTTAACTCATCTCGGCTCTTCTGCACGTCAGAAAGCTTAAGACACAGATGCATTTACACAGAAGAGTTTTTACAAAATACTTTGTACTACCAAAAACTTGCACAAAGCACGTCCCAGTACTACTTTGTACTACAAAGCTTGCACAAAGTCGTTCCCAGTAATACTTTGTACTACAAAGCTTGCACAAACTACTTCCCAGTACTACTTTGTAAGACAAAGCTTGCACAAAGCACTTCCCAGTACTACTTTGTACTACAAAGCTTGCACAAAGCACTTCCAAGTACTGCTTTGTACCACAAAGCTTGCACAAAGCACTTCCCACTACTACTTTGTACCGCAAAGCTTGCACAAAGCACTTCCCAGTACTACTTTGTACTACACAGCTTGCACAAAGCACTTCCCAGTACTACTTTGTACTACAAAGCTTGCACAAAATACTTCCTAGTACTAGTTTGTACTACAAAGCTTGCACAAAGCACATTCCAGTACTACTTTGTACTACAAAGCTTGCGGAAACTATTTCCCAGTACTACTTTGTACTACAAAGCTTGCAGAAACTATTTCCCAGTACTACTTTGTACTACCAAAGCTTGCACAAAGCGCTACTTTGTACTGCAAGGCTTTCACAAACTACTTCCCAGTATTAGTTTGTACTACAAAGCTTGCACAAACCACTTCCCAGCAATACTTTGTTCTACACAAAGCTTGCACCCAGTAATACTTTGTACTACAAACCTTGCAAAAAGTACTTCCGAGTACTACTTTGTACGACAAACCTTGCACAAAGCACGTTCCAGTACTACTTTGTACTACAAAGTTTGCACAAAGCACTTCCCAGTACTACTTTGTACTACAAAGCTTGCACAAAGCACTTCCCAGTACTACTTTGTACTACAAAGTTTGCAAAAAGTACTTCCCAGTACTACTTTGT